GCGGCTGCTGGGAGGGAGAAAAGAAAACTGCCGAGCTCCGGGCCAGACCCGGTGTCCAGCCCTGGGAGGACGCCTGTCCTGCCGCCCAGGTGAGGCTCTCCAAGCAGGTGTCCTGGGGGCAGCCTCAGAGGCCAGCCCCGTGAAGCACCCCTCCCCCGCCCTCTGCTCCCCTCCTCGCAGCTCCCCACCCCCTGCCCCTCGCAGGAGAGGCCCCACTGCTGGGCCAGCTCCGGTGTCCTGCTCTGGGATCTGTGCGGGGCCAAGGCACACTTCCTGTGTTGGAGCAGAAACACCTTCCAGATGTTTGTTCTGCCCCAAGATGCAGGAGGGGCCGTGAAGCAGAGCCGGCGGTGTGGGGGCCGCTGGCCCTGCGCCAGGACACGGCCGTCACCCGTGACATCACCTTCAGGTCTCTCCTTGCAGAGTCCCAGGTGGGCTGCGATGCCCGTCAATGCCAGGCATAACGGGCATCAGGACAGGCTTGGTCCGTCAGGGCGGGCTGGCCCCTAGACCCCCAGGGGCTACCCCACCCAGCTCCCTGCTCTTTCCCAGCAGCTCAACATGGAGGGGATGTCCTGGTGTCTCTCTGGTAAGAAGCGATGCCAGCTCTTGATGAAGCGTTTGAAAAAGAGACGCAAGAACAAAACACAAAGCAGGCGCGGTGGCCCACGCCTGTGATTCCGGCGGCTCTGGAGGCTGAGGCAGGAGGACCACAGTTCAAAGTCAGCCTCAGCAAAAGCGAGGCGCTGAGCCACTCAGTGAGACCCTGTCTCTAAATAAAAGACAAAATAGGGCTGGGATGTGGCTCAGTGGGCGAGTGCCCCTGAGTGAAGTCCCCAGTACAAAAAAAAAAAAAAATACACAGAGTTAAAATTGTTTTAATTTAAAAAAAAAAAAATTGTGGCTGGGATGGAACCTAGGAAGTACTGTCCCACTGAGCCACCCCCAGCCCCGGCCCTGCCAATTAAAAAAAAAATGCATCTGCAAACATTCTTTAGTTTTGTTTTCCCCAAATCAAGCTCACATTGTGCGTATCATTTGATAACCCACCTGATCCTGTCCATGTCATTTTTGATAAACAGGACTTCGCAGCCGGGCAGCACCCTGCCATAGGAGCACACGTAGGCCACTGCAGTGACGGCTACTGCCCTCTTTGCTCCTGTCAGTCAGCTGCAGTTGGCGCCCCGTGGGGACCCTCGAGGCCATTGGCTGAGCCCCCGTCCCTTCTCGTGGTTGGGTGAGAGGCGGCTGGCACTTGCTGGTCAAACGCATGGGACAGGAGCCGAAGCCACTGGCTTGCCCAGAGTCCAAGCAGGGGGACAGTGGGGGACAAGCGGGTGAGAAATCGCGACAAGACCCTCGTCTCTGGTCCCTGCTTCCTGCCTGTCCATGAGTGAAGCCTCCTCCTTCTGGGTCTCGCACACACACAGTCTTGACGCTCAGAGGTCAAGGCACGAAGTCACCCCTGCCATCCCATTCTTGAAATGCTCACTTTCGAGTGCTCTTCCACGTAGATGCAGGAGGCAGCTTGGCCTCTCTTGAACTTGGGTCCTGTAAAGAGGTCACCCCGCCTAGATCACATATGAGGAGCCCCTAGGGGTCAGAGCAGGCTGGGGTGGGGGAGAGGGGCTGAGAGCCGATGCCAAGGGCCCTCAGGCACTCCTGGGCCAAGGTGGCACAGCAAGGTGGCAGCACATGGTAGAAGCAGCTGAATGCCACGGCACCTGCCAGTAATCCCCCGGCTCCGGAGGTTGAGGCAGGAGGAGGGCGAAAAATGCCGGGGTGTATAGCTCGGTGGCAGAGAGCACCTGGTTCAATCCCCCACTGTGGCACGGGGAGGACTAGGGTAACTGAGCCCCCCCTCACCTGACAGCGTCCTTCCGCCTGGGGAACGGGGCAGGAAGGGGCCCAGCACCCGTGGATTTCCGGCTAAGCCGAGGGCTGCCTGGAGCAAGCGCCTACCCGTTCTGTCTCCGGAGTCACAGTCACTCCTACACCCCAAAAGGAGGGCCCCCACTCCCTTTCCAGGTCCAGCTACGGCTCCGAGCCCCAGTCTGTGCGTCGCTCCCCCTGCACATCTGCCCATGCTCCCAGCAGGGCCTCGGCAGCACGTCCATCAGCAGGTAGGGCGGACCCAGGAGGCATCCTATTTCAGGACTCTGGACCCCTGGCCAGCCCAGTGTGGGTCCCTTCAAGAGTCCTGCCCAGCTTCCAGGCACCCAGTGGCTCCACGCATCCCACAGAGGTCGGAGCTGCAGGAACACAGAAAGTCCAGTGGAGAAGACATCTTCCCCGGCTTCCAGAGAGGACGATCACAAATGATCAGAGGGAGAGGGGGCATGCATGATTAAGGCTCCCACAGCGAGGCTCCTTGAACTGTCTGCCTGATTTAAGAACTAATGACTCGGAGAGTCCTCACATCCGGGGAGATGCTGCGTGTCACCCACCACTGGCCGCCTCCTCCTGGGGCACCAGAGGCACGGGCAGCCGGCTCATCAATCAGTCCTGGCACATAGAAAACTGCCACAGCATCTCCATCCTGCTGATTAATAACTTCATCAGAGCCCTGTCCCAGGGGAAATGTAAGTCCCCAAGGGGAAAGGGCCAGGTGGAGGAGCCTGCCCAGGACCCCTCCTGGGGATACCTGGGATGCTCAGGAGCAGAGTCACTGGACCAGCTGCCGCCCAGAATCAAGACTTTGTCCAGACTTTGCATCCCCATGACGGAGGCTGTGGATACGCCCACACCTCCAGTTCCCTCATTTGACAGATTTAGTTTTGGTACCTGGATTGACCAGGGTTGCTTTGTCCCTGAGCTCCATCCTCAGCATTTTCACTTTGAGACAGGTCTTATTAAGTTGCTGAGACTGGCCTTAGTTTCAATCCTCCTGCCTCAGCCTCCTGGGTCACTGGGATTACAGGGGAGCACGCCACCATGTCCAGATCCAGTAGATGATTTTTACAGTTCCCATTTCTCCGCAGAAAGTCCTATCTGTTCACATATCTTGGCAACCGTTCCCTTCACCGGGTCTCTTCACATCTTCATTTTAGTTGATTCAAAGACCTCATCTAATAATTCCAACATCTCCGCCATTGGTGGATCTACTTCTATTAACGATTTTTCTCCTGATTAGGGGGCATGTTTTTCCTGCTTCTTTGCAACTTTTTAAAATGTATGCCAAGCATGATGCTTTTTTTTTAAAGCAGTGTGTAAAATAAATACATTTCCTGGAGAAAGAAGACGCCTTCCTGTCTCAGGCCACCACGTGGGTCTGATGGGTTGGCCCTGGGCTTTGGTGAAGTCTTCCACCCACTTCATCAGGTCTTCCCTGAATCAAGTGCTTTGGAGAGAAGAGGATTGCGTGAATCGCCTCGCACGTGTCTCTGCCAGAAGGCAGGTGGCGCACGCCTCCGGGTGGGTGTGGTGTCGGAGGGCACGGAGGATGTGAACACGGGACGTGGAGGTCAGCGCTGC